TCGTTTCCGTTTCTGGATCACTTATTGAAAGTATTGGATTATTTTGGATGAGGCCTCCTGTTCTGGCAGGAGGGCCGCAACATTCTGATATGGTACCGCGCTGATTGATTCGTTTCACTCAGTGCGGCATCACACCCAGAAAAAGTATCCAGCGGTGGAGCTACCACGGTGGAGAGTACAATAGTTGGGCAGGTGGGATGGTCTGTGTTTTTGTTTATCTCATTTCCTTTTCGACGCTTTTGGGGGAAAACAGGGAATGATGAAAGGGTTCGTTCATTTCTCAGTAGTTTGGGGGGCCTGCAGCTGGGATAGATTCGTGCCGAACCTATTCCCTTCTGAGATCTCCTGGATAATACTGTTGTATTCTCGTCTCCGTTTCTGGATCACTTATAGAACGTATTGGATTAGTTTGGATGAGTCTTCCTGTCCCGTCACAAGAACCCACACAAACTTCGTTTCCACATCCTCCTCCATCGCCCAACGACCAAAGTCCTACCGCGAACCTAAATATGCCGAACCCAAATTTTCTATGTGGTACGTTTTCCACTGCCACACGCGCTAAACGCTTCCGTGAAACCCTCGCTCAACGGCATACGATCTGCCTGGTCGTATGTGCTATCCAACTTTCGCCGTTTCCCTTTGGCGGCGTCGCTAGTCGTCTGCCCAATACAATCCCTTGCCACCGACTCGGTTTTCCAGCCACCGATCTTCATGATTTCGACTAACGCTGTACCTACTAGGGATTCGCTAAGCGAACCTCCAACTCGAAACGAGTGCATCGTGAAATGGGTAGGAAGGTGCGCCTGCAATGCCGCGGTCATGCGAGGGGCAATCAAGTCAAGCGACCCCCGACGGCCGTCTGCGGTGACCACCGGGAACAGATGACCGGCAGCCAAATCCCAACCTAGGTGTTTTGCTGCTGCAAGGTAGGCCTGCACAGCGCGAACCGTACGCTTTTCAAGGTTGTCACTGTCTGCCCGCACGACCACGGATTTGGTCGACATCGGCAGCGTTTTTTCAAGGGCGGAGTTGAAAATGTACCCCCTTTCGTCAGGCAAGCGCAAAACCTGTGACCCCATCGTGAAAGACAAACCGAGCCCCGCCGCATGGTGTAAAACGACAAAGCAAACAGCGCGATGTCGCGTGTAATGGATATACGCTCGCACCGAGGAAGAGAGTTGCGCTCGCATCCGCATGCTCGCCAGCAAAAGCTCCAGTGTGTGGGCTAACAAAGGCGCAGTCTGGTTTACCGGAACCCCACTCGGCTTTTGTTCTTCGGATACGAACGTCACGTACGATTCTACAAGAGGCGAGTCGCACGGGTTGCCCACCTGTCGACAGGACTCCATGGGTCGTTCTTTCCCAACTGCTCCGGGTACGTACGCCGTCCGTAGCGCAGAAAGGAAACCTTTCCGAAGCGATTCCGCCGCGTACCGTTTTGAACAAGGGGACGCGTGGGGGAACACTTATCCCCCGGCGGTGAGCCTATACCCGGGCATGACCTTGCGTGTACTACGGTAGTACCCTTACCCTGCGAGTCGAGAAAGCACAACCAGTCAAAGACATCATCCGGGGTGGCCAATTCCCAGCCCTTTTGACCAGTCGAGTACGAACGGACAAATCGGTCGAAGTCGGCAGCGACTTAACTTTTGCGAACTTGTCCAGCCCGTCCCGACATAGCTTTCAGCACCTGCCGACGCCGGTCTTGCAGAAGTTCGCGATCGATGACAACAGGCTGGGTTTCCGGGGGCGGGGCCAGCTTGAAAGGCGGGCGCCCACATTTCCAACAGAAGTTGAATTGACCGACGTTCTCTGAGCCACACTTGGTACATACCGCTAACCGAAAGAGGTCTCGGGCACTCGCCGGACCCGCTGCCCTCTGCATAAACGAGAGCACCAAATGAGGATCATCGGGAAACAATAGAAAACAATCCCTATTAACATGCATTCCTTCTGAAACGTTGGCAACGCGGGTACTAAACGCCCCCCCGGTTAGTAAGACCAAATGTTGGACGATGTGCCCAGCCATCAAGGGCGGCGGGAAACAGAAACCAAAGGCCGGGCCTCCGCCGGCCGGCAGCCTCGCGACGTTCTGCGCCAGCACGTCCGTGCCTTGCGAACCGGCGCACGTGTACCTACAGAAGAACGGCGATGGGGAGCCGTCAGAGGAGACCGATGCGTCGACGCCGTACACGCCATGAGGTCGATATTGAACGGTCCAAACGCCTCCCACACAACCCGGAAAGCCGCCGGCTTGAGTCGTATGGTAGTATCCCGGGACGGCCGCGAGATGGCGTCAGCCACCCCACTGGCCGCGTTCGGAACCCATGGCAATGAGAGCACGAACTCGTACTCCAACTGCAGGTCGAAGAGCTGAACGAGTAGGTCGCGCGTGACACGATTCTTGGCGCGCCCCCGATTGAACGCCCCGACAAAGGATCCGTTGTCCACCTTGGTGACCACCCGCGTACGCGAGTGGGTGGTGGGCCCTACAGAACTGTTGCAGGAGGTGATACAGCGCGCACATCTCTTTTTGGTTGATGTGTTTGGCCAACCAGTCAGCCGGGAACACGCCGCCCGCCATAAACGGCCGTTCGCCCGCGTACACCACCCCTCCCCGCGCCGGGGATGATGCATCCGACGCTCCGCTCGTGAGGCTGGCTGCAAAGTGCCGAGCTTTTTGGCCAAGGTCCCTCGTGCGTCTTGGAAGAGATATCGAGCCAATGCCGCAATTTCACCGAGAAGGTTGGCGCTGGCGCCCCATGTTAGGAGGACTTTCGCTCCTTCCCGACTTGTACGCGAGTCGCCTCGCAGGCTGCTAACCACTGGTCTCGTGGGACCTTACCGTGCGTGGCAGCGAAGTTGGCAAGGAAGGAATAATCCGAATACGCCAGCGCTGGGATGCCCTTGGAGCAAAGAAAACCCGCTGTTGCCTCGCTGAGGGTATGGTATACCCATGGACTGGCGCTGAACCCGAACGGAAGCACACACCAGCAGCAATACACTCCGCGATAGGAGAAACCGAAGAGTGTCCATGAAGACGGGCGAAGCAGATCGTGATGGAACGCCGAAGAGTCGTCGAGGGGTGTCATGAAGCGGCCCTCCGAGGCGACCTAATGCCACTCTTGCGACTGTGTCTATGGGAAATGGTTTCTTCTTGGTGACCGCGTTCGAACTGCGCGCGTCGTATATCAGGCGGGGTTTGTTGGGTTCGACCGAAAGTGGCATGATCATGCGCGGCCTGGCAGAAGCCGACGGGGTGCGAACGTCCGACCATTTGGCAATACATCCGCGGGCCAGCAAAGATTGAACCCCGGCGTTGACGAAGTCATCGAACTCGTCGGGAATACGGTTTTTCATTACCACCCCACGGAAATGTTCTGTGTTGTATGGTTGGTCGATAGAAGGCCCGCGGTGAAAGTCGAGAAGAAGATCGTGCATGCCGACCCCGTCTCGCAGAGAAGAAAGGAAAATGTCGCGCTCGGGGTGATCATTGAGAATGACTTCGTCCCAGAAGCGCACGTGCTTACGGGGCAACTCGGGCACGAACGACGTACCGCCCTCTCCCGCATCCCGTACCGGAGCGAGCCACGAAAGGCGGCTCTTGTTCCCGGCGTCGTACTCACCCATGACGTCGTCCCAGACGGGCTCCCGGGCACTCGGCGGTTGGGCGCCCGTTCGCACCCACTCACTCTCCTCATCCGACAGCATAGGCGGAGGGGGAACGACGGAATTTACTTGTGCTTGACGGCAATCAGGTTGTCGATACCACGCGTCCGCGTCCACCTATCGACCAACATGACGCACAAACGGGGTGGACATGCTTGATCGGTACTCTGATACAAGACCAACGCCTCAGCCCCGCTGTACAACACGCGTTTGGGCGATTTATAGTGTGGAGTGCTACAGGCATTGCTACGTTGACGCCGTGGAACGGTCGCGTTGTGCGGATCGATCAATGTCTTGGCTGTGTTGTGTGCATAAATGGCAGACAACGTCGGTATTGCGACGTCGATAGCTCTACCGAATGGGTGTTGCGTAACTATCAGTAGGTTCCGGGCAACCCAACGACCCGTAGAGTGCGAACGCCGACCCGAAAGGAGACAGGCAGAGGAAATGATGCGAGCCGATAATAGAAAGAAACCCCGCGTCGTGAATCAAATGCTCGCGTCGTGAATCAAATGCTCGTTTTTTTATACAGGGACATTGTAGGGTTGCCGATTGCAATACCAGGTACACTATACACCTCCATGACGTGAATCCCCGGCACGAATCATTGCGAAAAGCACTGGTTTGGGCGCTATCCAACCCTCAACGAAATGAAAATTACAACGAGGCGAATCGTCGAAGCGATGTTTTGTATCCAGGCACACCGTCGAGAAAACATGACGTACTGTAGCACAGACACAACTCAACGCGACTCCGGGGCCTTAGAACTATCCTAAAAAAAAAATGTAATTGTTCGAAAGGAAGCCAACGGCGACCAGAATCGCGCGTGTGTCTGTGTATGTATACGTTTTTTTTTGTTTTTTCTCTTTGACCGGTGTCGAGGAGAAACGCAAGTATGGCGCCATCTACTAACCGCTCGCAACCTGGGAAATGAAACCGAAACCTCCGGAGCTTTCTCACGTAGGCGCCCACGATACTAGCGAAACATAATCCTTCTCCACGTCATTCGCCAACTAACGAACAAATAGATTAACGAACTATGCTAGGGAACATGATCCCTTCCCCAAGTCATTGGCAAACATATCCCAAAGCATTGGCAAACACATGGAAACCTGGGAGATCACGGGTACTTCTTAAAACGTATACTTATGTTCGCGGTGACCCCCGCGCTTGCATCTGTAGCACTCCGAGAAAGCGCATTTCTTGAAGTGGTGGTGCGGGTAGCGTCCCTGCTGATGGCCGTCCTTGCAGAAATTGCCATTCGGATCGAAGGTGATTGCCTGCTGCTTTGCCTGGACGGCCTTGTTGTAGTCGAGGCGCTCCTGGGCCGCCTAGGCAGAAGCGGGGGCCGGGGGGCCGGAAGAGCCTCTGCCTCCGCCCGGAGCCCTGGCTTTGGAGCGACCTTTTCCGCGAGATGAGGACGTGTGTAGGGTCGCCAAGCCTGGGAGAGGTACCGCAAGCGGTCTGCCGCCGACCGGGGCCAACGGGGCGGTGATACCCGCGGCTATGGTGGACGCCTGCGACGCCGCCTGTTGGTAAGCACCCGCGTATCCTGAGAGATGGGCCGTCGCCAGGGTTGCCGCCAGTTTCCACCCACCGCTAATCGTGTCGATAGCTTTGAGACGACTGCGGTCCCGCAACGTGGTTTCACGGGAGATGTTCCGAGCATTCGGCATAAGATCGGTGAAGATGCCAAACACCTTCTCCGGTACTCCAAATTGCAACAGCATGTCGTTGCCCCGGTACACGAAATCGTCCAGCATGCTCCGCCAGGTCATCAGCCCCAGCGTCACACCCTTGGCGATAATTGCGTCGACGTGGGGTTTGAAAGAATACCAATCCTCCTTGCCCTTTTCGGTCCGAAGGGGAGTAAGGGCTGTCGTGGGGAGCGGGTTCATCTGTGTGGTTTTCGACAGCAACTGAGGGAACGGGAATCTCAACACGGAAAGGGGGATCATTTTATTGCACGCCCCGGCATGGCGGCAGCGGTATTATTTTCGATAAGCGATGGGAAACGGTAACAACTTAGCGTAAGAAGGACCGCATCGTGACCACTGTATAGCGGTGTTTTGCTCACACCCCGGCATCGGCGCGTTCGGTATTGCCCACCCCAGCATGGTGGCAGCGGCAAGAAAAAAATGAAGACGGTAGGCGCAATACGACACGTTGCGAACCGCTGGGCCTTGGTTGTATTGTACATCATAGCATGGTGGCAGCGCCAGCACCGTAATGTAACACAAGGAGCAGCCTTACAAATATACATGTGGACCAACATAGCACGGAGGTATTGGCGGTATTGCTCACCCCAGCATGGCGGCAGTTGTAATAAGGCAACCTAACCAACAGGTAACATGGCCAACAGGACTATTTCGCGCGGCGTTGCGGTTCTGACGCACGCGGTCTTCTTTGCATTGCGCACCCCAGCATGGTGGCAGCGGTAATATGGTAGTCGTAACGCAAACGGCAGCAATGCGACGTACGGTATGGTTTCACCCACACGCAGGGCACGGTAGGATTCGCGGTATTGCACACCCCAGCATGGCGGCAGCGGTAATAAGGTAACGTAACGCAAGCATCGGCCGTACGCTATACGATTTCACCCACAGAGCACGGTGGGATTAACGGCATTGCACACCCCAGCATGGCGGCAGAGGTATTAAGGCAACGTTCCACCACCCCTGACCTCACCAGAGCCTTCCGAAACAGCGGGGGCGCGTCCCGCGCCCCACGCTCGATGCCCATCGCCGTGTCCACCGCTTGGAAGTAAGATGGTACCCCCGGTAGCGGAGCGACCTCTGTCACCAACTCATACGCGAGCATGCCGACCAGAGCGACAGGGACAGCACTCACCGCTTCCCCGGAAGGAAATAATACCCGATCGCCGTGGACCCTCGGCTCACTGCCCGCCAGACCGAACACGGCCATGCACGGCAAGTCCGCCAGCGGTGTGGAAGAGGCGACCACAGTCGCCTTGGCGAGATTGGGCTGTAAGAGGGCCACCGGCGGTGGTGAGGGCGCCGGTGGGGCCGCAGGTGCCGGCGCGGAGGCAGCAGCGGCGGCAGCAGCGGCGGCGGGAGCTGCCGCAGGAGCCGGAGCCGCTGCAGGAGCGGGAGCCGCAGGAGCGGGGGCCGGGGCGGCGGTGGGAGCCGCACCCGGTCCACGGCCGGCACTTGATCCGCCCCTGCCGCAGCCTCTGCCACGGCTTGACGACGCTGTCCCCGACGCACCCGATCGAGTCGACCTACCCGACATATCTCCCTGTTCTTGTTTACCTCTTTTCCTTTTCGACGCTTTTGGGGGGAAACAGGGAATGATGAAAGGGTTCGTTCATTTCTCAGTAGTTTGGGGGCCCTGCAGCTGGGTATTGAGGTCTCCCCGATATTTGCTCAGGTAAATCCGGTTTTTCTCTCTTAAACCGTATCGTGAAATATGGAAAACGTATTTCTAATGGTCGGGACAAGCCAAAAACACTCAAGCAACTCCCATTTTTCTTTTGAACTGCCTCTCTTTGAAACCGTAGCCTCTACTGGAAGTTCCAGCTGATCACCTCCAACAAGAAGCTCGAAGTATCCTCCAACGCCTCCCCCGCGAACATTGTTTCCACCTGTTTTTGGTCTAAACACGCGAACTATCTGTGGTGCCAACATCAATCTAACGGCCGAAACACGGCCGAATGATCAGCCTCTCCGGGCGTGTCTTGTTCTTATTCTGGGTATGTTTTAATTCTCAGTTTTGGGGACGCAACATTTATAAGATAAAATTAGACCATCTGATCAGTCAACGTTGACTGATCAGATGGTCTAAATAAGATAAAATTAGACCATCTGATCAGTCAACGTTGACTTAGACCATCTGATCAGTCAACCTGTTGACTGATCAGATGGTCTAATTTTATCTTATAAAAGATATGCTCAGAGCTCGTTAGCACCCGGCCGGATCACTTGGGGTTAAGCTTTTAATCACTGGGATTGAGAGTAGAGATCTCCGGGGACGGACCCTTCGCCAATCACCGCTGTTTGGTAAACAATTGGCGGTTCTTGTGTAAGTGAACCACTGGGAATCAAACCCGTGCGTGGAACCTTGTGCAAGAAGGCTCTGACCATTAGACCACTGAGTAAACGTTGACCGATCAGACGGTCTAATTTTATCTTATAAAAGATATGCTCAGAGCTCGTTAGCACCCGGCCGGATCACATGGGCATGAGGCTGCTTGTAGCTTAAATCACTGGGATTGAGAGTAGAGATCTCCGGGGACGGACCCCCCGTTAATTAGATAAAATTAGACCATCCGATCAGTCAACGTTGACTTAGTGGTCTAATGGTCAAAGCGTTCTTACACAAGGTTCCACGCACGGGTTCGAATCCCAAGGGGTCTTGCACGCCCCGTGATTAAGCTACAAACAGCCTCAAGCCCATGTGATCCGGCCGGGTGCTAACGAGCTCTGAGCATATCTTTTATAAGATAAAATTAGACCATCTGATCAGTCAACGGTTGACTGATCAGATGGTCCCTTGACTGATCAGATGGTCTAATTTTAACTGATCAGATGATGGTCTAATTTTATCTAATAACATTGTGAAGCTGAACACCCGGAGGTTGGTTTAAAAACCGCAATGCTGAACACTCCCCCCCCCTCCCCCCCCCCCCGGAGAGAGTGCCGTCATGGTATGCAAAGAGGACAGGGAGGAACCAATTGCATAGAGATACAAGTGGGTGGTCGAGGAGATTGCAGTACTGGACCAGTACACATACCTCGGAGTAGAGATGGCAAAAGATTGCTCGTGGAATGCACACATGTCCAAGGTAGCGGAAAAGGGCAAAGCACGAGCAGGGAAGCTGCACCCAATACGCGCAAACCGGCACCTCGATACACGCGTCAAATTGACGGTTTTGAAGAGCGTAATCGTACCGCCGCTAGAGTACGCCGGAGAAGTATGGGAAGGAAATAAGAAGGTAGTGAAATAACTCGAGGCGGCGCAGATGAAAGCAGCGAAAATTATCCTAGGATGCTCCAAGCGCACAAGTAATGCAGCCGTCAGGGCAGAATTGGGGATCCAATCCCTACGGTCGGGAAGAGACGCAAGGAAGCGGACTTGGCCAACTGCTTGACTCCTTAGTTAACCTTGCTCGAGATCTTCACTCCACTTCTCCTTTTAGTGCGTGCTTCGTCTTGGCGGCGCCGACCGTTTAAGTTGAACAGATTGCATCATGAGATCATGAGGACCTCCGGTTTCTCAATACAACAGAACTGTTCATTCGCAGCCAATGAGTGTACGGGGGGATGGAGAGAGAGACACAGACAGACAGACAGACAGACAGACAGACAGACAGACAGTAGCGACAGAGCCAGAGAGACGGGGAAAGAGACAGGCACATGATGGTGCTGGTGCTGCTGGTGCTGGCATGTTATTTGCCTTGTACCGCCACAGTGTGTGTGAGAGCGAGAGCGGATACCCGGCAAAGCATGGCCGGACGAAGCGCGGAACAACAACCGCACATCATGCGCTAAAAAACTGACCTGCACGCACGTTTCCCCGAGTTGGTGCTGGCAATGGGAGAGTGTGATGAGATCGTTGACATATTGTTGACTAGACTATATTATACACTAGATACCTACTTTTCTGCTGGTGGTGGTGGTGGTGGTGGTGGTGGTGGTGGTGGTGGTGTCGAGACATCGTCAACTCACAAGCGTTTTCTCTACATAGTCTTCTCGTTTCGGTGAGGGTTGATGGCGCCAGAAGTCGCTGCCCGCCGCCGCCCGGGAAGTTCCTTGTTCGTCGAAGCTTTTCGAAGCAATGTTCGGCATTTCGTTACGAAGGAGAACATAGACTATTGTTCTTTTTTCGACTAGCAGAGCCTTTAATTTTCAAGTGTTTTCATTTTGTCGTCTGATGATGATCATGATGATGATCAATTTCAGTTCTGATGTGTGGGAACCAACCGTGGAACACAGCAGTAGTGACGGTGTCGAAAATGACACACGTAGACAACACACAAGACAACCAGCACAGCAGCACACAAGACTGCTGTGGACCAAGGGCAGCCAAAGGCACGCATAATAGGAGGTCGGGTTCGACTGTTAGAGCCGGTTGGAGCACCACAAGCGAGGGAGGCGACTGCATGCTGCTGCTGCTGCTGCTGCTTGTTGCAGGCCGATCTTTTCCGATCCTTTGAGCTTGCTACACAGCAGTGTGCACACAACACTTACTTTCACTCTCCCCGCGCTGCTAAACAGCAGCAGTCTGCGTACACGGCTGACTGGTGGTGTTGGGTGAGGTGTGAGCGTGTGCCGTAGCAGTGGTGTGGCCTCTCTGTGAGGCTCCATCCATATCTATCTACGCCTGCCTGCGTCTCTTTCTCCGCCTGTCTGTTCTTTTTCGCGCTTCGCGCGAAACAAGCTGGGGGGCCAGCGAAGAAGCTAACAAAATGGTTGAAAGCAAGCCAATTACACCACGATTTTTAGGAGTTGGAACCTGAAATTTCGACAACATGCAAATATATATGTTGTCATGATGTGGTTGTATTGGTACAACAAATACAACTGCTAAGCCTATTATTGTCGGTGTTTTTTCATGAGGTAGCCCTATTTGGGGAAAAATGGGAATCCTTTTGTTGTGTATAGCCTATCTATCTATTAGGAGGACCAAAAAGAAATTATCAAAAAGTACGGCTAGCAGTTGTATTGATAATAATAATACCAACGACATATTATTATATATGTATGTATGTATGTCAAAGTTTCAGATTCCACCGCGTAAAAATCGTCATGTATTTTGCGATAACCTCACATGTTCTTAACTGTCTTGTGTTTTGTATCGGATTCGTTTCGAGGCCGTTTTTTTGTTTTTGTTTGTTTTTCTCCACATTAAACTAACTCGTGTCAAGTTGCTAATAATCTCAAAAAAATCTATCTAGCAACTAACTCGTGTCAAGTTGCTAATAATCCCAAAAAAAATCTATCTAGCAAAGACTCGGCCCGTGGTCACAAAAATGCTAAAAACTATCATCAGAAGATCTAAAGAACACGCACACTATTAGCAAGGAAAGGGTACACAAGCCCGAGGAGGTACACCGAGGCCGTAACTCTTGATGGAAGATGGTGTGAGGAGCCTTGCAACTACCATCATTTTTCTCGCAATGCTCCCGTCCCAGGTATAAGCGCACGCACACCAAATTTCAGCTTTTTTTTCTGTGAAACTTTTTCCATGTTGATTTCAGTACCGCAAGTATCCCCCACTATACGCCGCCAATTGATCGTGTAATACCTGAATCAACTCGGAATCGAAAAGTTCTGTTTCGTGGAAACGGCAGCATGAGACCAAATGAGACGCGAAACAACGAAAGTGAGCTTCTTGGCTGGCCCAGCAAAGAAAGGCGGCCCAGCCAAGCCCAAGCCCAGCAAGCCCCAGCTTGTAATTCAAGTATTTTTTGTTGGACCCCTACAGCAACATGCCTCCTTTCATATGTTCGGGGTTTCTTCATCTGCCTGGTGGTTGGTGGTGTTCTTTCAATTTTTTTCGACCGCAGCACATACACAGCAGCAGCGGCTACCGGCACCTCCCTACCCCGGCGTCTCCTTCAAGGCGCACGCCATCACCCCACGCACGCTACCTCTCTCTCGCAGGCGTGCGTGCTCGGTGTTTGTTTGCCGAGAACATAGCCATTTCACCGCTCGCTTAGGAAAGATAAGGAAGGACGATGGAGGTAACTTTTGAAGAGCGCATCCTTGCGCCGGAGGCTACGGATCAGTTCCTCTGGATCCTTATCGTGGCGGCGTTTGGCGCCTTCTTCGCCGCCTTCGGCATCGGGGCCAACGATGTCGCCAACGCGTTCGCCACCTCCGTGGGCGCCAAGGCGCTGACCATCAAGCAGGCCGTCGTGCTCGCGGGAGTCTTCGAATTTTTGGGGGCTGTGTTCCTGGGCTCGCACGTTACCAAGACCATCCGGAAGGGCATCGCGGACGTGAGTGTGCCCTCGACCGAACCACAACAACTCCTGCTGCTGCTGCTGCCGCAGTACGAAGCATCATCGTCGTAGCCTGTTGGTGTCTTGCTTTTGTTCGCCCCTGCTGATACCCGTATCCCTGGATCTCGTCTTCCCCCACGCACACCCTCCCTTTTTGGGGGTGCCGACAACTCCCGCTTCCGAAATTTTTGGGACTACAGCAGAAGAATCTAAATATTGTAGCATAAACCTCATGACTCAGGCGCACACGTGCGCTCTCCATGCCCGGTCGGTGCCTGCGACGGCCTGGGTTGCTGCAGTAGTAGGGTTGCCCGCGGCACAGCAGCATTCTCTATCGTTCGTTCTCGGTGATTGATTGACTCCTTTTTTCATGTGCGAGGGCCGGCGTATGCACTGCATGCGTACCACACGGTACCATAGGCGGCACGCACCTTTATTTTTGGCGGTTTATTTGTTGCATCACGCACACACACTCATTTGGTCCGCATCCAAAAAAACTTCCCAACATAACATATATGAGACACACAAGACAGCTACCAAACTGCCTTGTTGAGCCTGTTCCCCGCAGGGGAGATGTCCCTATATGCTGTCTGGGAAATGGTAGACATACAGGTACTTTCTGACGCTATGAATCCATTGCTAATCTGTCTCAGGCTCTTTTTTCATAGATAGAGATGGTTTCGTTGTGTCATATCTTTTCTTTTTTTTTCTCTTTTTTTCTCTCTTTTTCTGTGCCAGATGGCCTTGTCTCTGCTTGCGTTGTGAAGTACCAAGATTGAACCAAGGGGGTGTACCTCTTTCTCTCCGGCCCGTGATGGATAGTGAGTGCTAGTCTCAGTTGATACCTCGCATAGCGCGAAGAGGGAGTGGAGGATCCCAGAATATCTGTCGTTGATTTCTATTGACTTGCGAACCCCTCGGGGCCAGTTTATTTGAGTGTACCTTTTTAGGGTAAGTTAACCTGTGACCACGGGAATCGACCGCGTCGAGTGTTGGATCAGTACGGACATACGAAGGTACTGGGTAGAGAGAGATCGGAACGGTTTTTAATGTGAAGACAACAACAACAAAAACACCAACAATCAAGAAAAAAAAAAAAATGCAGCATTTTTTTTTTTTTTTGTCTTCACTTCAAATCAGCGCTCACAGCATTAGTGCCGTTTACTCCAACTCGTGTTCACACAGAGGAGCCCCTCTCTACCCTCCCCTTCTGCGGTACTTTGCCTGCGATTTTTAATGCGAGAAGAGTTCAGCACTCTCTTCCCTCTGTGTACACACGAACTAGCGCTGTCCACTAGGCCAGGAGTGGAAGCGAGAGAAAAACTCACTTTGCAAGAAAAGCTCGCTTACGCCGGGATTCGAACCCCTGACCTGTGACCTCTAGAAGGGTTCGAGGATACCAACTAGACCACCGGGGCGAGCCTTTGCTACAAGGTAAACAGCAGTAGCGTCTCCCCAGTAGCAGCAGTAGCACCAGCATGCTGCCGCACAGCAGGTGCATCGAACTGAGAACGGCAGTGGAAGTGCAAGGGGTCGCGTAACAGGAGCACCCATGTCGCCAGATCGCGAAGAAATTTATTGTTGTTGTTTGTTTTCCACTTTTTAAGAACACACCGCCAACTGGTGAGTGTGATTGTTGTTGTTGTTGTCTTCACATTAAAACTCGTGTCAGTTGCTAATTAAGGAAAAATAAATACACAGACAGAAAGACTACCCATTCGAGATACAAGCTGGGCGAGCCAAGAAGCTCACTTTCGTTGGTGTCTCACGCTGTCGTTTCCACGAAATTAGGCTTGAAATTTGGTGGTTACTCTTCTGAGACAATAGGAAAAACGCAGATGCCAGAATTTTTCGAATCTGAGTTGATTCAGGTACAGGTATTACACGATCAATTGGCGGCGTTGTGGGGGATACTTTCGGAACTGAAATCAACATGGAAAAAGTTTCACAGAAAAAGCTGAAATTTGGTGTGCGCTTACCTGTGGGAGCATTGCGAGAAAAATGATGGTAGTTGCAAGGCTCCTCACACCATCTTCCATCAAGAGTTACGGCCTCGAAACGAATCCGATACAAAACACAAGACAGTTAAGAACATGTATGTGAGGTTATCGCAAAATACATGACGATTTTTACGCGGTGGAATCTGAAACTTTGGCATACATGTCGTTGGTATTATTAAAACCAATACAACTGCTAGCCGCACGTTTTAGTTTTTTCTTTTTGGTCCTCCTATACACAACAAAAGGATTCCCATTTTTCCTCTAATAGGGCTACCTCATGAAAAAACACCAAATATATAAAGTACGGCTCGCAGTTGTATGTGTTGTACTGTTATATTAATACGAACCACATGTTGTCCAAATTTCAGGTTCCAACTCGTAAAAATCGTGGTGTAATTGGCTTTGAACCATTTTGTCAGCTTCTTGGCTGGCCAAGCCTGTATACCCACAGGCGAACGGGATGTGGTGGAGTCTTTTCAGTAAGTGGAGGAGAACCGGCTGGGTACTGGACTTATTTCGAGTCTTTTTTAGTCTATATACTGATGATTTATATCAATGATGCCAGCTGGTGCTAAGTACAACATCTGTATAGGTAAGTTACATTGTACAACACATCCCCTGTAGTTCTATACTGGGTCAACGACAAAATATCGGGGAGAATCCCTCCGTTGTGTCGTGTATTGTAAAATGTAACCTTCACAGGGGACACGGCGCAGTGTCTATTGACAGCTTGCTGGTTTGTTAGATATTAGGAATAATATTGTAAAAATCATGGAAGATGGAACGAAGGCTACAGCAGTAGTACATCACTCGTTTTTCAAATCTACAGATTTTTTAATTTCACGGGCAGCAGTTGTTTCCCGCCGTTTTTTTAATTTACAAAACGTATTTGATCCTTTGGGGTAACGTATCAGTGATGTTTACAGCAGTAGATGAGAATGGTACACCTGGTGCATAGTAGGTAGGGCATAGCATTCAGTTTGTATCATTCTTCAAGTCAAGCAAAGACGCGGTCGGTGGTCACAAAAATGCTAGAGCCATCAGATCATCGAAAGAACGCGCAAACTAGCTAGAAAAGGTACACAAGCCCGAAGAGGTACACCTACATCCCTGCAGCACGTTTGCGTGCCCAAAACTGAACTACCCGTCCACACACCACAACTACCGTATATGACACAAGATAACACACCCCCTTGGCCGATTTTCAAAGCTCAATTTCTCAACAGCAGGAAGAGTCACAGCGCCGAAAACGGCGGCGTTGGAACCGTCTCGTCGAGAGCTGTTCGAAAACGTATTGTTTCGTTTATGCATCCTCTTCGTCGTGGAGTAATCGAGCTTTGAAAATCGGTCCAGGGGGTGTGTTATCTTGTGTCATATACGGTAACTACAGGTAGCGCCCGCAATTACGAAATATTTGAAAAGAAATATAGGCTCACTTTGTCACGAAAAATAAGACAATACGGTTAAGAAACATAGCTCAATCTGGGTCACCCAGTAAGAAATGTCTCAATAAGAAGCACAGCAGCGACTGCTGCCCTACTACAAAAGAAACGAGGGGTTACGGAGGAGTGTGTCGAATAAGAAACAAACCCCACAGCTCTCTCGCTCTTTCCCCCTCTCCCCCTACCCCCCCCCTCCCATAGTGCATTATTGTTAGTTGTACGCCGAGGGGGGAGTGTTTTTTTTTTGCGGCGCCCCTCCGGCCCCCTGCGGGCTCTGCGCTCTGCTCTGGTGGCGCTAAAGCTCTGGCACAGCACACCAGACAGGCTGCGAACCACGACATGCTGTCTGCTGTACACGGCTTTGATGGTGTTCTCCGCCAGCTCTCGTGAGGGCTGGACCAAATAACAAACATGATATGAGAAACTGAACGACATACGCTGAGTTTATAGCCCAAACAGAAATCGAGGCTGGACCTGAAATAAGCGTTTCTTAATTGCGGACGCTAGCTGTACAGCAGCATCGCCCCCCCTGTCCTACACTTTACCAACGAATGTCGACTGCAGCGCACAGCTGTCTGGAGTGCTGCCTGTACAATAGCACCATGGTAGGCATGGTACAGGTTCGGGGCGCGCAACTGCTGTCTGAAGTGCTGTCAGAATGCGTCCGTGGACATAAAGTGAAAAAGAACAACCAACCAAAGCCATCATCATTGCAATTGACATTCACCGAATCTACCCCTGATCATCTGTGTTGGACACAGCAGTGTAAATGATCGACACTGATTAGGAATCGTTCCACATTGAAGGGGTCTTCCACGATGCAGGTACACAATAAAGGCACCCGGGCTATCCGCGCCATCTCTGCCGCGTCTCTCTACAAACCAGTGACGTCGTCACATACACACCAATGTTCAGGAAAAAAACGGAAAATATTTGACAACACAAAATGCTCGTCCGTGCGTCACGGTTCGATGTCGTCCGTGTGCTCCGGCGCCGCTGCTCCGGTGTCGCTGTGATGCTATTCATTGTATTGCGTATTGCATGCATATGCATACTTTCATCAGAAAGCCATACCAACTTTCTGTCACCCATATTTGCGCGTGCACACAGAGCTACTGCTGTCCGTCGCGTACGCCTGCTGTACACAGCAGTGACAGAGTCACATTCGCTTCCCTTCCTTGTACACAGTATTGGTGTGGCAAACCGCATATCGTGCGTGTTTTTGTGTTTACGTCCTATTTATAATGGCGACAGTCCCCCCTTTTTTCGTGGTGAGATGTGTAATACACTTTTCAGCGTATGTAGAGTACCACACTTTGCAGTAGTTACAATTTTTTCGTACAACTACAACCATCCAGGGTCACACAGGAGGGTAAAACAAACACCAGGGGTTTTGTCTTCTTTTTACTTATTTTCATGCCCCACCTTCCTCCTGCGGTGCGCGCTGATTTTTATTTTTATCGCGAGAAGGGCCCAGCCGTCCCTTTCCCTCGTCAACGGTGCTAGCGTCGAAGTTTGGTACTCACGAGAGCTTTCCAGCTACATTCCGCTGTCACCCGCACGTGCTGTAAATATTTCACCCCATGGGGATTCGGACTCACGACCTCTGCGACTAGCGGTTTACGAGGATACCACTAGACCACCGGGGCGACCGGCTCTTTACACCGCGGTAAAAACCGCTTGTCACGGAAATCACACTAAGAGCTACCTTATCTACTTCTAATATCCCCATCGCTCAATACAGCTGTAGTTCGTGATCCGGTTTAGCGGTTCCCCGTTTAGCGGGATGCCCCTGAACAGCGATTCCCAAATTTCGGTGCACGGCTGCCTCTCGGTAGTCAAACTTCTACTGTAATATACGTCTGCAAATAATCCGGTTTATTTAGCGGCGATGCCCTCGATAGCGGTTATTTTGTTATTTTTGTGACACTACGGATTGCTAAATAAACCGGGACCATGACCTCTGTACCGTGGTGTCCCGCAATGTTTCTGTCTCTCTCCCCCTCTCTCTCTCCGTCTGTCTGTCTGTCTTGTCTTATCTCTTTCGATCCTTGTTGCCCTTTGGCCGGATTCGTCCGGGCCGTCGCAAATGCCACTATTATACCAAACTCGGGCAGATCGAGTGTTTCCAGGACAACCCGGGGATCCTGATGTACGGCAACATGTGCGTCGTGTACACCACCGGCATCTGGCTCCTGCTGGCCTCCTTCTTTGAGCTGCCCGTGTCCACCACCCACTCCACCATCGGAGGCATCGTCGGGATGGCCATGACCTACCGCGGCGCCGGCTGCGTGGTCTGGTACGAGAAAAACGAACTCTTCCCCTACTTCACGGTGAGAACTAAAACGCCTGCAGTCCAATAAATCATTGCCGGTATGTGGGGTAGGTTCTCTTTGTGCAGGACAGGAGGCCTCATCGAAACTAATCCAATACTTTCTAAAAGTGATGGAGAAACGGAGACGAGAATACAGCAGCACTATGTACCGTATGTTGCATGACGTAAGAAGCCACACCACCACCTGGACCGATTTTTTAACGGCTCGATCACTCCACAGCAAAAAACAGAGGCGGTTTCGAATCTGGCGGCTTTGGAACCGTCCCGCTCGTTGAGCTTCCCGATCACGTGTCATTTGATTTCGGCATTCTCTTCGTCGTGGGGGTAGTCAAGCCTTTAAAAAGTCGGTACCGGAGTGTGTGGTATCTTACGTCATGCAACCTGAGGTACCGTATACGATACAAGATAGCACACCCCGTGGACCGATATTCAAAGCTTGATTCTTACGTGACCGAGTGAGGATGCACAAACGAAACGATAGGTTTTCGGAGATCTCTTCATCAGACGGCTTCAACGCCGCTGGTTTCGGCACCCCCACCATTCTGCTGTTGATAAATCGAGCTTTCAAAATCGGTACCGGGGTGTGTGGTATCTTACGTCATGCAACCTACGGTAATCGGCAACTGGGGACAGACCCTAAGCTAAGCTGTAGTATTGGAAATTGATCTGATTGGATGCGTACGCCTGCGATGCTGTACTTGGAATGGATCTGATTGGATGCGCACGTCTCTGATGCAGTACTTGGAGTTGATCTGATTGGATGCGTACGTCTGTGATGCTGCACAGAACGGGCCCGCAATTGAGAAAAATTCTGTCAAAGAAAAAAGGCTCAACTTTTCACGAAGAATAAGAAAACAGGGCTAAGAAACTCAGCTCAATCTCGGCCACAACATAAGAAACGTCCCAATAAGAAACATGATCGTGCGATACCCCCCAGATGTAAGAAACAAGGGGTTGCGGGGGGAGCGTGTTTAATACGTCCCACTGATGATGCTGTTGCTGCCATGCTCCCGACCCATCCCTAGCTCATGTAATATTTGTTGGTAGGGGGGGGGGAGATATTTTCGCGGCGGCGCTCGCGCCGCCGCACCGCCGCGGGCTGCGCTATACCCATCAGCCACTGCTGCCGTACTGGTGTGTTATAATGAAAATAAGAAAACAAGAGAATCAGCAGGATGCGACAGCCCAAAGGCTCGACCCGATATTTGACGTTTCTTATATCGGGGCCCGTTCTGTACTTCGAATTGATGTGATTGGATCCGTGCGACTGTGGTGCTGTAATTGGCATGGATCTAACTGGACGCCATATAGTCCGCGACTAGGCGGAACTAGGTCTTACGGGACAGAATGGCATGAACGGCCCTGTTCATGCCGAACATTAGGCGGGCGAAAGGGGCGGTCGTACCATTTCCTCTCGTGTGATGATTCGTACCATGTCCTCTTGTGTGATGATTCATACAAGGTGAAATGCCGGTGTTTATGAAACGTCAATTCGGAGTCGAAGCTCGTCAATGTCCTGTTGTTTCGTTACCACGGTCGAGCATCGGTCATTGCATGGAGTTTAGTGAGGGGTCCACGGCCGGCTGAGGTAGGCGTGTTTCTTAGGCGACTTTTCTTATTCACCGCCAAAATCTAAGCCTTATTTTTCGTAAAGGTTCGTTTATTAGTCGCGGGCGCGAACTGTATTCGGCCCCATTCGCGAGTCCCCCCGAACTAACGCCCAGCTCCTCAGGCGTGCGTACCGTAGGTGGCATGGCGTAAGATATCACACCCCCTTGACCGATTTTCGAAGCTCGATATCTCCGCAGGAAGAACAGTGACGGTGCCGAAAATGGCGGCGTTGGAGCCGTCTGGTCTAGAGCTTTCCGAAAACGTACACTTCATTTTCGGCATCCTATTCGTCCTGGAGAAATATCGAGCTTTCTGTAAAAATCGGTCCAGGGGGGTGTGCTATCTTATGCAACGAGCCGCGGTCGAGTGAGAGGACCTACTACCCCTTGGTCGGGCGACGTCGAACCAGGTGGTGCTGGGCCCCGTGCGCGTGGACCCACGTGCCACCTGGCTCGTGCTGCTCGATGGACGGTTGGTTGGCCTTGTTACTCTGGCGCCGTTACGCGTCCCCCAAGAAGGAGGGCGGTTGTTGTCGCGGGGGTGGGGGTACTCATAGTCGTGCATGCCGTAGTCGTTAGACCATTGACCTCCCATCCCTACAAAGCCGGGACGGAGCACGCCGCCGGGTTCTCACCGGATCAGGCTCTCACATCACCAAGCGCGAAGCGCCCTGAGGTATTCGGCGAGTCGCATGAAGGGTGCGCTGCATCCTGCTAAGGGTGTTGTTGAGGTGATGGATGGGGCCAGTTTTCCACTCGGCCCGTAGCATGACGCAAGGGGTTGCGGTAGGAGGGCGCCTTTTTTTTTGTTATTGTCGACGGCGTTGCCTACTGCTGAACAATAGTACGGTTGGTTTGGTGGAACCGATCGCCGTGCTAGCGTTTTGTTCCGTATACATAATTCTTTGTGCGTGTTTTCGTTTTTATTTAATGGTTATGGGTTGGTTTTGGATGTTCGATTCAAGCCAATGAAGTTTAAATTTAGTCGTCTATTTTCACGTACATCATTCATAAACAGTTTTTTTTGT